ACATAATTACCCAAGCTGGAATTTAGCCAGGACACAGGGTCAAACTCTTTGACTGTTATGAAAAGTGCCAGAGGCTATTCAAAGACCACAAGATTGGTTTTAGAGTAACAGCCGTGTTAGTCTGTATTCGCAAAAAGAAAAGGAGTACTTGTGGCACCTTAGAGACTAACCAATTTATTTGAGCATGAGCTTTCGTGAGCTACAGCTCACTTCATCAGATGCATACCGTGGAAACTGCAGCAGACTTTATATATACATAGAGAATATGAAACAATACCTCCTCCCACCCCACTGTCCTGCTGGTAATAGCTTATCTAAAGTGATCATCAGGTGGGCCATTTCCAGCACAAATCCAGGTTTTCTCACCCTCCACCCCCCCCCACACCCCCCCCCCCCCATTGAAAACATAGCAACTCAAGGAACACAGCAGCTCTAAGGCCACACTCAGGTATTGGGTCACTACTAACTCAATGGGAAGATCAGCTCCGACTGAATTACCAAATGCAGCAGGTAGGTTTTCTTTGGAGGTACCCCCTCCAGTACTGATGTAGTCTAGCCCTAGTAGTGACAAGATCCCAGTGGAGATGGGATGGCTGCCATTACACAGACAGCTATGTGCTTTCCATTAGCTGTGTAAAGATGACACATTTGAGTCCTTTATTTAAAGTTGGACCTGATGAACCTAATGTCTCCTTTTGTGTCTTTGCCCCACAAATTTGCATGAGTTTGACCCAGTGAAAGCCCTCTGAAGGCATGTTAACCTGTACTACGGAACAATATCCAGATGGTGTTGTTCCGTGTTACCCATCTTGGTGTGCCCATTCATCAGTCCTACAGCCATGCAATGCTATAATAGTATAGATGTTGTAATATAATTTCATCTGGTGACCTGAATTAATAGAGCCTGAAAATATTTCTGAAACAGGTTTCTAGTAACCCTGGGCTCGAGGGGCCAGATTGTTAGCTGGTGTCAATTGGCATAGCTCCACTGACTTCAACAGAGCTACAAACATTTATACCAGCAGAGGATCTGGCTCAATATTTACCTCACTAGCCACCCACAGCAGATCATGACAGATCACAGACATTAGGAAGGGCCGACTGGGTCATCCAATCCTTCCCACTGCGCTATTTGCAAAGCCATCACCTACCCCAGAATGCTCTCTGGTTAGGGCTCAGACTATTCCACTAGGACCCCAAGGTCACAGGATCACGTGTTATGTGAGTTCCTTTTGATCTCTCCTCTCCCTGTACTCCAGGGAGGGCTGGTACCAGAGAGACTTTTCAGATTTCTTTAGATATCTCTTTAATCAAAAGGAATTTATGAGAGAGAGAGAAAAGTGGATGAGGCTGATTCATTGCAGGGAAGGCCAAAATGCCCTACCATCTTCTCTTCAAACAATCTGACTGAACTCTTCCCACGGTGGCTCTGGGGCAGCAAGGCTGTGAGCACTGTGGGTGTGTTTCAATGTCTCAGACTTGTTGCTTTATTCACATAAGGGATGCATATTTACCAAAAATCAAAGGAAATGTTTTTTCCTATTTCTTGGCCATTTGGGATACTCTGAGATTTATTTTATTCACTAGTTGAAAGGAAAATGGAATCAAAGATAGCATCTTTATTCTGTGCCAAGCTCTTTCTTGTGTACCCTAGCGTAGGCTCACACAAAAGAGCTCTGACCACTCTAACTAGGTGCTTATTCTAAATATAGAATGGTTTAGCTTTGGTTACATAATTGCCTAGCGCACTTGGGCACATGACATTATGCTACAAAAGTCTTGTTCTTTCTCCCCCACAGCCCCAGCTTCAGGCTGTTTAACTGAGTGCTGTAAGAATAGGATTATTTTGAAGCAATATCACCTAGTTTCTGCAGGGAAGACCAATAGAAATCAGATGCTGACATATGCAACCCCTTTTGATGGGAACAGTGCCAAGGCTACTGATCTAATGATTAGAGCTAAAGATTGGTAGTCAGGGCTGCTACTGTTTAGCATCTTGTTTAGCAGCAGGGAGTTGTGACTGGAGGGTGACTGAGGGTAGGGAGTTGCCTTCTAGCTGAGCACTAGGCTGATAGCATCAATGATTTTCCAGTTGTCACTCCCAAAATCTGTTCCTGATCAATGATCCGGAATGAGCTCAGTTGAGGTCATGATCTTGCTTGCACTAAAACCAATGTGACTCTTGCAAAACTCTCAATGACTCTAAAAGCAGCAGGAGCAGACCTTTAGCTCGTATTGGCTAGATTGTCTCCTACTGTGACCCTGACTAATTATTTTACATTTGGTCTGCACTAATTTCCCTCCTATTTTCACAGTTACCTACATGATCCAAATCTCTCTTCTCATTGTTTGCTCTGTGTCCCATATTAACACCACTTGTGGGGCTCACCTTTGTCAACATTGTTATAAATATAATGGAGAGGCTCACAATATGCTGGGATGCTTCACTCACTCCCCTTTCAGCTCAGAAACTGCCCTCTGTACTTACACCAACCAGAGCCATCAACCTTAACTTTGCCATTCCCGACTGTGATGTTTAATTTCTCAGGGGCAATGTTCCACCACTAATCCTCACTGCACTCTTGTCTTTATTTGAGAGTGTATGTATGTGTGTGTGGAGGGTAGGCGAGTCAGACATGGACAGTGAGAAAGAGATTGGGACTGAGTGTAGCAGAAGTCCAAGATATAGTTTTGATCATATTTTGAACATTAAGGAAAATTAACAATATATTGTCTGTTGTCCACCAGGGATCCCAAGAGGAAGGTTTTCTGGGTCACCTGCTTGACAGTTGCTCACAGAAGCTTAGAGAAAATGACATTCATCCTGAGAATAATATATCTAGGAAAGAAGATGGCCAGCAGGAATCTTACTTTGGTACAGGAATTGAATTGGGCCAGTTTGCTTCAGTGTGGTTTTTTGGGAGGCTGAGACTTTGTACTTCAGAATCCAAGATTTCATGTAAGAAAAAGTTTCTACTTCTTTTAGCTGCAAAAGAAACCTTGAAAATATGAACAGAGTGCAGCCAATGTAGTGATGTTTGCCTGAATCTGCACACAGCCTGAAACAATATCTCTGAGAGATGTGGACTGTATTATTCTCTTTTGTCTCATTCTGCTTTTTTACATCCTTGCTTAGCTATCATTGATTTGTCACCCCCACCCCCTTTGTTTTTGGTAGGATCAGTTCTAAATTCTGTCTCCTCAATTTTATCTTGAATTCTTTTATTTCCCACTACGGATTACACAGCTGCTATTGAAGTCCATCTTATCTTCATTACAGGGATGCTGGTTGGAAAATGGAATTGATTGTCACTGTTTTCCAATGAAAAAATATTTTATTGGAGAATGATATCTATTAAATGTTTCAGTGGGTGGTTATCTAACAAGGTATTTATACCATAGAATCTGAATGCCTCACAGTAATTATGCTAACTCATCAAGATTTTAACATTCTCTTCTTTGGTCCTCTGTTCACAAGCATGTATTTAGGCTTTTTTGTTTTTCTGTTTATCATCATCATCATCATTCTGGGAAGGCTTTGGTGAAGAGCTTAGTTTTACATTTACTCTTCAATATGGTAAGATTTGTCATCATTCTTATTTCTCACAATAAGGAAATTGCTAGCTGAAGGCCAGCTGCAGAGAAAGCTTTTCCCATCACTCCTGAAAATCTTTCCCTTGTTGTTAACAGTTTTATTGTTACTGATGCGCACAGTTTTCTCTTGGCAGAATTCATGTCCCCAACATATTTTTTCTGTCTGCAGAATATAGGCTCTGGTGGAGAGGCACTGCAATTACACCTTTCGTCCACGAGGGGTTGCTGTGGCATCAGAAGAGAAGGCAGCCAGCTGGCAGAGAGGGCGGGGGAAGAGACTGCGCTCCTCACAGTGGGGCCAGGTGAGGAGGCATGGGATGGAGAGAGCGGGGCACACAGGGCTGCTGGGGGGTCATAGAGTAGGGTTCAGAAGGGCTAGTGGGTAGCACAGACTTGGGCACGGTCTCAGGTGCTAGTGGGGTGACACCATTGAGCTGGGGCTGAATGGGAGTGGAGCTGCAGGGCCGCGTGGGGACAGGGGTAGATGTGCCTGACTAAATGGGAGAAGCTAGGTGTCAGCCAGGGTCTGCATGAGGCAGGCTCCCCAACTCCCTAACAATCCCCGCCACAACCTTGTTCCATACTTCTCCCACCCACACTTAACAACCCTCTAGGTTCACTCACAGGCTCCTTCCCTCTCCCTCAGCTCCTCTGTTACCCTTGACTCCCCTAAGGCTTTGGACTGCTTCTGAGGGGATGGGGAAATATGTTTCTGTATTGTAGTTTAAATGAATTACTCATAGTTCTGTATTAATATGCCTAGTAAGGAATCCATTTAAACAAAACAAAAACAGTCCCACCACAAACATTTCCTGAATCTTTGGTGTGTGTGTATTGTTATAGACATTACTTGCTGACTGGCATTTTAAAATAAATTACCAAAATAATTGCAATTGACATGATTATATTGTGCTATTTTGACAGATAAAATATGCAGAATTTTAAAATATTGTGTACAGAATTTTTATTTTTTTGGCGCAGAATTCCCCAAGGAGTAAATGATGCACATATACATTTCAGATAGATACTAGCATTGAGACTGAGGATCATTCCCATCCATCTGTGGTATTTCCAAGGTCCCTGTCCCCCGGTTACTCCAGTAGCTTCCGTTATATTTTCATGCTGTTTACTCGTTTCAGGGCTTTTAATGATTTCATAAATCTAACAAATCATCAGAAAGTTCATGATCTTGTTTAAGGCAACAAAACTCCAACTCCAGGTACCTGTATTTCATTGGACACTTGATTGGGAAAAAGAAAAGGAGTACTTGTGGCACCTTAAAGACTAACCAATTTATTTGAGCATACGCTTTCGTGAGCTACAGCTCACCGATGAAGTGAGCTGTAGCTCAGGAAAGCTCATGCTCAAATAAATTGGTTAGTCTCTAAGGTGCCACAAGTACTCCTTTTCTTTTTGCGAATACAGACTAACACGTCTGTTACTCTTGATTGGGAAAGACTGATTGGACAGCAGTTTTATTGCTTTGTTTGAGATAAACTGGCAGCAATTGCAGAAGATGGATTATCTTGCTCCTGCCAAAAAACCTTTACTGCCCATAGTTTATTGCTCCAGAACACATTCAGGATCTGGTCCATACAGAATCCAGGCTGACGAGCAGGTGGTGGTGGAGCCGGCCTCACTCACCAGCAGTGCCCACGTGACAAAACACCCCCCTCCTAATCTCTTCAGTGAACTCGCCTACGGCCAAACGCCTGTAGTTCTCGAGGGCCCTCCCCATCCTGGGGCCTACGGCGTTGGGACCAGCATAGGACTACAAGGTCCAGCATGCCGTGCGGGGGCGAGGCCGTACCATATGCAGGGAGGAGGTCTCCGTTTTCTCCAGGTAAAAGCATCGAGGTGCCGGAAAGCCGGTAAGTACATGGAGCGGCCCCCTCGACCTGCTGCGGGGAGGGTGGTCCCTGGAGAGAGAGGAGGGAGGCCCCGCGCCGCGTGGAATTTAGAACGTTGTGTAACTAATCGGGAGCCGGCCGGTTCGGAGGTGGCGGGCTGGGGCGAACACCCCCCCGCGACCACACGCTCGCCGGGCGGCGCGGGTCCGGCCCTGCCTCCAATCCCCGCTTCTCAGTGCCCCTGGCCCTGCCGCCGGACAGCCTCCACCCCTACCCCAGCCTCGTTCTCCCGGTCGTCTCCGCTTCTGGCCTCCACTCGCAGCCGCCCCGCGCCGCGTGTCCTTCTCGGCGCGGCCAGCTTCCCTAAGCAGCGCCCCCTGTGCCGCCCTCCTCGTCTCGCCGCCCGCAGCCCAAGCACACTGCGTCCCCGCAGCTACCAACCCCTGCTCTCCCCAAGTCCCCGCCTGGTCGGCTCCGTTAGCGCTCGTTTGGAAGGGGGCGCCCTCAGCGTGGGGTCGGTCTCAGAGCCTCTGTATTCATCTGCTGTAATATATGTACTGCTTATTGTATTTTTCACTCCCTGCATCTGATGAAGTGGGTTCTAGCCCACGAAAGCTTCTGCCCAAATAAATGTGTTAGTCTCTAAGGTGCCACAAGGACTCCTCATTGTTTCTGAGTAGCAGCCGTGTTAGTCTGTATTCGCAAAAAGAAAAGGAGGACTTGTGGCACCTTAGAGACTAACAAATTTATCTGAGCATGAGCTTTCGTGAGCTACAGCTCACTTCATCGGATGCATACCGTGTTTCTGTCTCGTGTTCACTGGGACACCCACAGTGTCACTCGCTGGTAAAATCTTGTCTTCGGCCCTCCTGCTAAAAGTAAGACGAGGAGCGCAGTTGGTACAGAGACTCTGACCCCTGAAGCAGACTGGTAGTGGGGGTTACCTCACAGCACGGTGCTGACCATTGTAATTACTGCCGCGCTGCCTGAGTTCTCCTTCGCCGGTAGTGTAGGGCCCCGGAGAAGTTTAGAATACTCTGGACGCTTTCTTTTCACTGCCATGAGGGTAACTGCTACATCTGTGATTGTGGCTGAAGATCTAGGGTTCCTCATGAAGTGCCATCCTCTGGTTTTAATTTCTATCCTCTGCATGTTGCCTTATCTGAAAGCTGCACCCTCCCACAAACTTTAATTGAGTTGAGAAAAATCAATGGCGTTGATTCAGCACCTCAAGGCCCATTGGCTTTAGGTAGCTGCAGGTGCTCAGGACCTCTTGAAAGTCCAGTCACAAATAAACAGCTTAAATCATATATAAGTTTAACATTTAGTCCTTTCGCTCATATTATTCCAAACATTGAAAAGGTGTGAATAGCGCTAGGGTCCCCAGTCTGCATCTTGTTGAGGTCCGTAGTGACTGACGATCGTCGTTATCTGGTGGTTGTTTAATGGCCTATATGAAAAGTTATACAGGCATCATTGGTTTTCTTTGCTGTCTATCTCAGATGAGAGACCAAGGATTGCAGAGGTCAGAGACTTAATTCCTCCTTCATGTGTAGAAGGGATGTCTCTCTGGGGCAAGGCTCAGACACTTCGGTGAATAAACATGCCTTTGCTGCCTGTGCAGTATCTGTGTGCTGACTAATTGGAGACTCCAAGTCAATCCAGCAACTTTCACTAGTATGAAAGTCAATGAAAAGAAAACAAACACAAAACAAAATGTGAAGATGCTAAATATTTTATTATCATTTATTTATTTAATTAATTATTGCAAGCAGGCTCATAGTTGTTCCACACATACAATGCAGGATCTATAGTTACACAAGTCAAATGATTGAATGTGGGAGCTCAGGTCAGTTTGGTTGTAAGTGACACACATGGTACTTAAGCTGCATCATGGACTAAGTCAAGTGAAAGTCAAAGAAGCCAGTTTGTCTATAGAGGAAGAGCAGCAGGTGATTCATTAGCAAAGATCTTAATAATGAAAGGCAGTTACGTTGAGAGGCATATTTCACAGCTGACAGTGTCTTTAAGATACCCCTAGGGATTTCACAATAGCTCATTTACATGGTAAAGACTCACTGACACCTTACGGAAAACCTTGAGATACAATTGGTTCTGCCAAGTCTATTTCTATCTCTTATATTGGAGTTATTTTTGCCCCCCCCCCTTTTTATTACTAAGAGATATTAGCATGAAAACAGGATCTTTCTTGCTTAAGAGCTCAGCTGCTCCTGCTGATTATTTCCCACCTAAAGTTGTCAGCCTCTGCTTGTGATGTTCCAATTAGTGGAAATAGCTGTGATGTCACAAACTGCAGAATGTGGCTTCAGGTGGGAATAAGATGTGGGAACGGATGGACCTATATCCTGTTTTCAGACAAATGTTCTTAATAATAAAGAAGGGAAGAAAACAAACAAAAGAGACACACATGTTTTTTTCTTTGTTATAAGGAGACACTACCAAGTAGTTTAGGCCTCAAATTTATCAAAAAATAGGACTAGAAATGTTATTAATTCAAACTATTCCATAAAATATTTTGGAGATTGTGGAGAGCCTGGGGCATTTCTGTAATATTTCTATGAAAAGTATATGTGGCTCAGTTTACCTGTTTGATATTATTCTGCTTGATTGCAATGAGTTAAATCAAAGGAGATTGTTGGGGAGAAGCAAACAGGTGATGAAATAATGTCAGAGATGAGATGCTTCTAGAGAGAATACCAACGGTCCTTAAGGGAACCCTGGGGGAGTCATTAATTGGGAAATGCCCACCTGCTTGGCTCCAACCAGGCTTGCAAGTTTATTTTTCCCTGGCCTGAACCTAGGATCAAAGGGACGCTAAACCCTTAAAGACACCTTTGTAGAGAGGACGGGGGGATAGGCTTTGACAAGGAGATGCTAAGAGAATGTGAGGGGCTGTCTGCTAGGGTATTAGGTTGGGTGGCAGTTACCTAAAACTTGCAAAGTTGGAATAAAGGTTAAGTAAGATTCATGCCTTGTAGAGCTTTATTGTTTTAACCCATTTCTGTTCACCGATAATGCCTTGTATTGAAAAGGATGAACTGTTCCCTGCTAGTTACAAAGACCCCCAATATACAAAGGGATATAGGCACCTAAACCCCACATTTAGGTGTTTAAATCCCAGTTTAGGCTCCACTGCAATCCATGAAACTCCTGTGAAATGCTGTAGGTGTTGGTACCTAAGTTTTCAGGGTGAAAGTTTCCTAGGCACCTAAGTTTCTGCCTCTGAGCATGTACATTGCTGCCTCCCTCTAGGCAGCCTGATGCGTATCTCCTGCCTAAGCCCCAGAATGATCCACAAACTGGGGGAAGATAGGCGGATGAATGCCTAACTCCTGTGCGGGGCTTGATCTAGGAGGCATGATCTGGTCCCATGCAAAATCTGGCCCTTGATGAAGGTCCTGGGCAAGATAATGGATTGGCTGCTATGGAACTCGATTAATAAAGAATTAAAGGAGGATAGTATAGTGAATGTCAAGCAACATGCATTTATGGAAAATAGATCCTGTTAAACTAACTTGATTTTTTTTTATGAGGGTGTTATAAATTTGGTTGATAAAGATAATAGTATATTACATCAACACTAAGACTTCTGAAAGGTGTTTGATATGGTACCATGCAGCATTTTGATTAAAAAACTAGAACAATGTAAAATTGACATGACACACATTAAATGGATTAAAAACTGGCTAGCTGATATGTCTCAAAATGTAATTGTAAATGGGGAACCATCATTGAGTGGGTGGTCCTGCAGAGATTTGGTCTTGGTGTTGTGCTATTTAACATTTTTACCTGGAAGAAAGCATAAAATCATCACTGGTAAAGGTTGCAGATGACACAAAAATTGAGGGAGTGGTAAATAATGAAGAGGACAGGTGGTCGTCTTTTTTTGTATGGCTTGGGTAGGTAGCAACAACTACAAATTTATATCTAGATTTGATAGCCATCACATTGTCCTGGTGAATGTCCTTCAGGCCCCTGTGAAAGGACGAAGGGGACACTTAGATATGGTGTGCTCCATTGTTTGTGCCTGGAGACCACAGTTGTATACAGGTGTTTGGTGAGGACAAGTCACTAATACAGAGTGATTTGGATTGCTTGGTAAGCTGAATGCAAACAAACAATATGCATTTTAATATAGCTAAGTGTGTGTATGTGTGTGTGTGTATATATATATATACACACACACACTCGTAGGAAGAAAGAATGTAGGCCATACTTACAGGATAGGGGACTCTATCCTGAGAAGCAGTGACTCTGAAAAAGATTTAGGAGTGGTGGTGGATAATCAGCTGAACATGAGGTCCTAGTGCTATGCTGTGGCCAAAAGGGCTGATGCAATCCTTGGATGCATAAACTGGGGAAGCTGGAGTACAAGTGGAGAGATTGTTTTACCTCTGTATGTAGTGTTGGTGTGGCTGCTGCTGGAATACTGTGTCCAGTTCTGGTGTGCACAATTTATGAAGCATGTTGATAAATTGGAGATGGTTCAGGGATGAACCACCAGAATGATGAAGGGATTAGAAAACATGCCTTATAGTGATTGACTCAAAGAGCTCAGTCTGTTTAGTGGAACAAAGAGAAGGTTAAGGGGATAACTTGATTACAGTCTGTAAGTTCCTGCGCGGGGAAGAAATATTTAATAATGAGCGGAGAAAAGTGTCCCATGATCCAATGGCTGGAAGTTGAAGCTAGGAAAATTTCAGTTTGGAGATAAATCTTTAACAGTTTGGCATAAATCTTTAACAGTGAGAGTAATTAACCGATGGAACAATTTACCAAGCACTCAGCTGGGATGTGAGAGACCCAAGATTGATTTTCCCCCTCTGTCTCTCTCTCTCTTCCCCTGCCACCTCCTCTGGCTGTTTTGTGTGGAGCAAGGAAGGTGCCTAACTCCTCCCTCAAGAAACAATTTAGGTGCCTAAGCCACCTGTCTCCAGGATCATGGATCACAGAGATAGGTTCCTAATGGTGTGAGAGGGACAGGGCTTAGCACACACCCCTGTTGTCAGCATCTCCCATTGGCTAGTTTAGATGGCTCCCCGCCTAGCATGCTTGCTTTTATGAACTTCATTCTAAGGCACCTAACTCTCCCCATTCATTATATAGGAAGCCTGCGTGCCTAACTCGGGCTTTGTGGGTTGCAGTGTTGTTCTGTGACTTTTTTCTAGGTACCTGAAAGTTAGGCTCTGTGATGTTCAACATTGCGACTCCTAGATTGCTTTTTGGATCCAGGCCAAAGTTTCCAAGTTCCCGATTCCTGCGGGAACCAGACCAAACTGACTGTTCTGAAGGAGCCCCTCTGTGGAACAGGGATGCTGAAGTCTGGGATCTAGTCTAAGAGTGGTAGAGTCATAGGACTCCCCTTGGAGTGAAGTAGAGCCCCAAGGCCTGCCATCAGGGAGAGTGTACTCACCAGTGATTGTAGTGATCTGTGATAGAAGTAAAAAAGAAATGTGGATAATTTTTTTCCTTTAATTGCTGGGTATCTAAACCAGAAGCCTTAGGCGTTCTTAACTGGAGTGAAATTGATTAGAAACGGAAAATGAAACTGACCCTCCTAATTCCATTGCCAAAGATAAATGAAATATAAAAGGAAAAACTGCATCAATGGAACGAGGGGAAAAAAGTACAGTGGATTTGTAAACACTTTCCAGGTTTGAATAATCAAAAGTGTCATTTAATAAAGCAGGGAAGGACAATGTTAGAGGTAAGAGAGAATGTTAAAGAGCTTTTGACACATCATGAAATCCTTTGGGGAGGGGGGAAATCTAGTTAGAGCCTAACATTAAAACAAAACTGTCCAACCCTAAAATGCCTCAATTAATAATAATAGAACTTATAAAATTCATGTTCAAAGCACTTTACAAACATAAGTAGTTAATACAGCCCTTTAAAGAAGGGAAACAGGTATATTATTGTTTTCCCCACTTTATAGGGAAACCGAGAGTGAGAAGTTAAGAGGTTTGCTCAAGATCATACGTTGAGCTAAAGGCAAAACCCGGACTAGAACGCTGGTCTCATGATTACCAGTCTCATATTCTAACTATTGGACCATACTGCCTCAGGCAGGATTGTAAATGATTATTCATTTTTTGCCTCTTCCCCTATGATGATGAGAAGGCAGGTATCTTCTTGGCTTGTCACTTTGGCCAGGTCACCCCCTTCTTTGCCTCCTTCTACTGGCTCCCCTTTTCCACTGCGTCAAGCAGAAACTACTTGTTTTTACTTTTAAGGCACTTCATGGAATATCTCTACCCTATCATCTATTGAGACATTGCCCCTCACCCCTCCACTCAATCAATAATGACAGCCTTGCCTGTCCATTTGGAACATTTTTCAACAGGCACCTTTGTGTTTCCCACGATGGGAGGAGCTCCCTGTAAAAATCTGTAACTGTCCTCTTTTAAATCCCCTTTTAAAACCTACTAAAGCCTACAAAACTCATGATAATGGTTAGGCAGCTGGTGTGCTGTGACTACTGCTTATTACACTAATCATAACTGACTCACTGTTGCCTTGTGCTCCTGCTGTTTGTTTTATGCTCCTGTTGTCTCTTGTTTTATACTTAGATTGTAAACCCTTTAGGGCTAGGGATCATCTTTTCGTTTTATGTATGTACAGTATCTAGCACAGTGGAGTCCTGATCTTTTATTTGTGGCCTCTAGGCAGTAGACAACTATTGCAGTATAATAACAAGCTTAGAACGGAGCTCCTTGTGCACCTGCCTACTGATCACTATGAAACTAAGGCACAGAGAAGTATAGATTCATAGACATTAAGGTCAGAAGGGACCATTATGATCATCTAGTCTGACCTCCTGCACAATGCAGGCCACAGAATCTTGCCCACCCACTCCTGCAATAAACCTCTCACCTATGTGTGAGCTATTGAAATCCTCAAATCATGGTTTAAAGACTTCAAGGAGCAGAGAATCCTCCAGCGAGTGACCTGTGCTTCATGCTATAGAGGAAGGAGAAAAACCTCCAGGGCCTCTTCCAATCTGCCCCGGAGGAAAATTCCTTCCTGACCCCAAATATGGCGATCAGCTGAACCCTGAGCATAGGGCAAGATTCACCAGCCAGATACCCAGGAAAGAATTCTCTGTAGTAACTCAGATCCCACTTTGTAAGTATTGTAGCACCGAGGCGGGGGGGGGGGTGGCATAGGTATAAGACTACAAGTGCTATTCATTTTGGGTGCAGAACCATGATTCCAGCACCCCTGTACCTGCTAGGCCCCCTCCAAGTCAGTCCTACTCCTCCAAGCACCTCCAACATGTCACAATTTCCCTCTCTTCATACATCAAGTCTGCAAACCATCTTTTGAACCTCTCAGCTCCTTCTCATCACCTCCCTACCCCACAAACTGTCTTCTCAGACCCTCATCAACCTACAACTCTCAGGGTTACCCTCACCAGCATCAGGTATTCCCACTCTCCATCTTATTTCACCTAAGTCCAATCATCTACCTTCATTTTATTCACTCCCCATTTTGGATCTCCCCAAATCACCTGGCTTTCTTCCCAGGACCAAGCAAGCCCCTTTCACACCCGTCCCCCTGGATTAGGACTCTCCTTCCTTCCATAAACTCCTGAAAATATCCTTCTCTCCCTGGGCTTGTGGTCTTATTATGATCTATACCAGACATGGGCAAACTTTTTTGCCCGAGGGCCACATCTGGGAATAGAAATTGTGTGGTGGGCCATGAATGCTCACAAAATTGGGTTGGGTGCTGGAAGGGGTGAGGGTTCTGGTTGGGGCCAGAAATGAGGAGTTCAGGGTGCAAGAGGGGGCTCCAGGCGGGGGGGGGAGGGGGGGAGGGCTCCGGCTGGGGGTGTGGCTGGGGTGTGTGGCTGGGGATGAGGAGTTTGGGGTGTAGGAGGGTGCTCCAGGGTGGGACCAAGGGGTTCGGAGGGTGGGAGGGGGTCAGGGCTGGGACAGGGGGTTGGGGCTCAGGGAGAGGCTCAGGAGTGCAGGCTCTGGATGGTGCTTACCTCAAGCAGCTCCCAGAAGCAGCGGCATGTCCCCTCCCCGGCTCCCACACAGAGGCATGGCCAGGCAGCGCTCCAGTCAGTGGCAGAGCGGGGATTACGAAAACTTGGAAGACTTGTTTCCCAGGGCCCCTGCTTTAAGCACTAGACCACACTCTCCTCTCATAGCCAGAGATAGAATCATAGAATCATAGAATATCAGAGTTGGAAGGGACCTCAGGAGATCATCTTGTCCAACCCCCTGCTCAAAGCAGGACCAATCCTCAATTTTTGCCCCAGATCCCTAAATGGCCCCCTCAAGGATTGAACTCACAACCCTGGGTGAAACCATGAGGCTTGCACTAATAGGGTCCTCTGCCCTAACAGGCCTTCATATGCTCACTTGACAGCTGATCAACCTGAAAAATGAGTTCTGGAAGGAAGCATTTGGATGACTTTGAATTTTTGGCCAAGGTTGGCCTGAATTGTTCCTCATGTACTCCCTTCTTCCACTCAAGTGGTGAAGGTTCCTGTTTTGTGTCTCTGCAGTGGTCGCCAGGATGGCCAGAAGGGCCTTGAAACTTGTCTCTCTGGCAGCAGCCAGCTCTGGTTTCTACCTGTACAGCAGCAAGTACCTGGATCCCAATGATTTTGGAGCTGTTCGGGTGGGCAGAGCCATTGCCACAGTAAGTTGCACCCTGGCAGGTTGTGTGAGGGTAGGGTGAGAGATTTACTGGCTGGGTTAGAAGGATCCTCAAGAGGGAAATGTAGTTCACAGGAGCTCAGTCCTGGTGCTTAGTTTACTGTATTGATATATTTCAAGAGCATAGTTGGCTCTGAGCTCCAGGAATTTGGGTTTTTCCTCTGTTTTATTATTTGTGTGGGGAAAAGAGGTTAAACATGTAGAAGGGCTAGCCGGTAATTTACAGTGAAGAGGAAGAGAGACGCTGTGACAATGAGTGAACACATACCTTATTGAGGACTCAATCTGGACAGCCCTGTGGGGCTACACCCACTTTGCTATGGCTCTTTACCCCACATCCCCTTCATCCACTTCTTATCCAGAACTCAGTCCTTTGCATCACCCCACTGCTTTTTCCAGTCATTTTGCTTTGAAGCTGCTTACCACATCCTTGATGGTGGCTCCTCTTTCCCCTGCAATAACAGCTCATTGAAAGGACCATGTTGCTGAATGAATACTGTGTTGGGACCCTGCCTGTAATCTTTGTCTCTAGGGGTCCTTAGTGGGAGGAATTTGGGGAGGGGAAGGTGTCTGAATGTGTTTTTTGGGGGATTATTGTCAGGGAAAGGGTAAAATGGGAGAGGTAAGGCAGGAGACGCATGTGGGGGCAGCACACACACTGTTTCTAAAATAAATGCCGAAGAGCCCCACTAGTCCTGGATGCGTGTTACCTTCATTTCACCACAGATGTTGATCGCAGCATCCAAAAACATGAGCATGGCAGCTGACAGCCAGACAGGTTGTGACCCTCTCCATGAGAGCCCTCTCTGGAGAATCCATTAGCAGCCAGAAACAAGGAAGATCAGTAACTGTGTAGGAGATCAGTCTGCCCTGCACCTCTGTTGTGCCATACGTTTGTCGCTTCAGGCCAGGAATTCCATCACTTACAAGCCCCTGGTGCTAAGCAGCTGTCAGCCTGCATCGTCTGCACTTTTTAAAAACGCTTCATTAGTGAGAATTACAAGGAGCGCCTCCTGAGAGCAGGACTGCAAGAAGTAGGTTCTGTAGCTGATCTCAGAATCCATTACCGTGTATACATGCAGGCTGGAAAGATGTGTAGGCCAGAGCAGAAAGTGATGTGAGGAATGTCTGGGACCTAAGAAGATGTTTGTTTTGGAAGTGTATGGCAGAAACATCAACTCCCACCACCTTATTAAACATAATGCAAAGTATGGTACTTAGCACTTTATCATTTCAGTGTCCCAGACTAAGGAGTCAGTAGAGGAGTTTTTGGAACAAACTGATAAGTTAAATAGTGATAAGTAACCAGGCCCAGATGGTATTCACCCAAGAGTTCTAAAGGAACTCCAGTATGAAATTGCAGAACTATTAAAGGTGGTATGTAACCTATCACTTAAATCAGCTTCTGTACCAGATGACTGGAGAATAGCTAATGTGATGCTGATTTTTAAAAAAGACTCCAGAGGTGATCTGGCAATTACAGGCCGATAAGCCTAACTTCAGTACCAGGCAAATTGGTTGAAATTCTGTTCTTTACTATAGTTAGCAGACATATAGATGAACATGATTTGTTAGGGAAGAGTCAACATGGCTTTTATAAAGATAAATCATGCCTCACCAATCTATTAGAATTATTTGAGGGGGTCAACAATACTGTATGTGGACAAGGGTGATCCTGTGGATACAGTGCACTTGGACTTTAGAAAGCCTTTGACAAGGTCCTTAAGCAAAGTAAGCAGTAAGACTTTAGAAAGCCTTTGACAAAGGCTCTTAAGCAAAGTAAGCAGTCATGGGATAAGAGGGGAGATCCTCTCATGGATCAGTAATTGGTTAAAAGACAGGAAACCAAGGGTAGGAATATAATGGTCAGTTTTCAGATTGTGGAGAGGTAAATGTGGTGTCTCCCAGGGATATGTACTGGCACCAGTGCTGTTCAACTTATTCATAAATGACCTGGAAAAAAGTGAGGTGGCCAAATTTGCAGATGATACAAAATGACTCATGATAGTTAAGTCCAAAGCAGACTGTGAAGAGCTGGGATCTCACAAAATTAGATGACTGGGCAAGAAAATGGCAGATGAAATTCAATATTGATAAATGCAGAGTAATGTGCATTAGAAAATATAATCCCAGTTACACATACAAAATGATGGGGTCTAAATTAGCTGTTACCATTCAAGAAAGTGATCTTGGAGTCATTCTCTGAAAACATCTGCTCAGTGTGCAGCGGTAGTCAAAAAAATAACAGGATGTTAGGAACCATTAGGAAAAGGATAGATAATAAGACAGAAAATATCATAATGACACTATATAAATCTATGGTACGCCCACACCTTGAATAGTGTGTGCAGTTCCGGACACCCCATCTCAAAAAAGGTATATTAGAAATGGAAAAGGTACAGAGAAGGTTAACAAAAATGATTAAGGGTACGGAACAGCTTCTTTGTAAAGAGAGATTAAAAAGACTGGGACTATTCAGCTTGGAAAAGAGATGGCTAAGGGGGGATATGACAGAGGTCCATAAAATCATGAATGGTGCGGAGAAAGTGAATGTGGAAGTGTTGTTACTCCTTCACATAACACAAGAACTAGGGGTCACTCAATGGAAATTAATAGGCAGCAGATTTAAAACAAACAAAAGGAAGTACTTCTTCACACAACGCACAGTTAACTTTTGGAACTTGTTGCCAGGGGATGTTGTGAAGGTCAAAAGTATAACTGGGTTAAAAAAAAGAATTAGTTAATGAAGGCTAGGTATATCAATGGCTATTAGCTAAGATGCTCAGGGATGCAACCCCATGTGCTAGGTGTCTGTAGCCTCTGATTGCCGGAAGCTGGGAGTGGATCACTCAATGATTGCCTGTTTTGTTCATTCACTTCAAAGCACCTGTCATTGACCACTGTGGAAATACCGGTGTGACGGGTTCGGTCACAGAGACCCCCTTGGGACTGTCACCTGATGGTCTGAGACTACTTCTGAGCCCATTTTCCCTGCCAGCTTGGGACTCCAGTACCCTGCCTTGTTGAGCCAGACATGCTACCCTGCTGCAAATACAGACTCAGGTCTGAACCATGTCCCCCAGAAGCTGCAGACTTAACTGAATACAGCTTAAGAAGTCCTCCTGTCTCTAGCACCCAGATACCCAGTTCTCAATGGGGTCCAAACCCCAAATAAATCCGTTTTACTCTGTATAAAGCTTATGCAGGGTAAACTCATAAATTGTTCGCCCTCTATAACGCTGATAAAGGGATATGCACAGCTGTTTGCTCCCCCAGGAATTAATTTTATTAAGTATAAAAAGTAGGATTTAAGTGGTTCCGAGTAATAACAGATAGAACTAAGTAAATTACCAAGCAAATTAAAACAACAGCACACAAGTCTAAGCCTACTACAGTAAGAAACTAAATGCCGGTAAATCTCACCCTCAGAGATGTTCCAATAAGCTTCTTTCACAGACTAGACTCCTTTCTAGTGTGGGCCCAATCCCTTCCCTGGTACAGTCCTTGTTCCAGCTCAGGTGGTAGCTAGGGGATTTCTCATGATTGCAGCCCCCTTTGTTCTGTTCCACCCCCTTATACATCTTTGGCACAAGGCGGGAATCTTTTGTCTCTTTGGGTCCCCTCCCCTCCTTCTAAATAGAAAAGCACCAGGTTTAAGATCGATTCCAGTACCAGGTGACATGGTCACGTGGTCTCTGAGACCCGAAGCCTTCATTCTTCCAGGCCTGACTCACAGGAAGGCTTGCAAGTAAACCGAGCCTTCTACAGTCAATTGTCTTTGTTGATGGGAGCCATCAAGATTTTAAACCATCATTAATGGCTCACACTTTGCATAACTACAGTAAGACCTCAGAGTTATATTTTATATTCCTAGTTTCAGATACAAGAATGATACATTCATACAAATAGGATGACCACACTCAGTAGATTCTAAGCTTTGTAATGATACCTTACAAGAGACCTTTTGCATGAAGCATATTCCAGTTGCATGATAGTCACACTCATTAGCATATTTTCATAAAAACATATGGAGTGCAACGTCACAACCAGATACTGGGCTAGATGGACCATTGGTCTGACCCCATACGGCCGTTCTTATGTTCACTGTACAAAAACCACTGATCACCCATACACCCCAGGGGAAACTGAGGTATAGAGAGGTGCAGTGACTTGCCCATGGCCACAGAGGGTGTCGGTGGCAGAGCTGTTAGAAGTCAGCAGTTCATTGCTCCCAGGCTCAATCCACTACTAGACCATGTTGCCTCCACATATTACAGGGTTTTACAGCAGCAGCCGCAAACAGAATATCCCACAATAAAATCTGCTGGTGGTCTCTAGCCCCTGTAAGTACTGGAATACTCTGTTTTTTTTAAAAAATGTGTAGAATTCTTTTTAAAATGGTTTATTTCTTCTAACATACACAAGGCCTCGTATGGTCAGGTTGCTCCAGTGTGAATTTCTGCTATGCTGCTGCACTAATGACTCTGCCTTCCCAGCCCTAGGGATCTGCTCTTTATGAGGGTCAGAGGGTGTTAACTTCTTAATTTTCAAGTGTTTCTCCCTAACTATAAGGGATGGAGACTTCTTTAAAATGAGAGCTTAGATTCTATTGCAAACATGTGACTCTGGGAGCTCGGGAGCTTGATGTGGGCCTATAATGCCTGTCCTTTAATCCAGCCTGGGCAGACCCCTGCTTAGTCGGTAAGCTCCCATAATTGTTTGTGATTTTCTGGGGGGGAAGGAGGGCTTCAATCATGGTAGGTGAACTTCAAAATGTTCAAAAGTTATATTCAGAGAAGTACCCAAAAGTGTGGATGCTTAACTCAACCTCTTGGGGCAAAGCCAGGCTGCAGCTAGGGGCACTGTCTCCAGGGACGTGTGCAGGCCAAATTCAGCAGCAACAGTTGTAAACATGAAAAAAAAACGTGGAGAGGGAAGACAACAAATCTGACCTGCCACTATATCCTCAGAGCTCTGACAAGTTTGAGTTTTGCTAGAAGGTTTGCATCAGTTCTCAATTTATCCATGCTTATTCATCTGTCCTTGTTAAACTTCCTTGCTTATGTGACTTGGGGGAAAACTCTTGCCTGAGCTCAGGTTTGGGGAATCGGGTTTTGCTCATGTCTGGTCAGTCTTTGAGGGACCAGCAGAGAGAAAACACTGAAAGGCAGGGACATTGAGTGGAGACCTCCTCCCAGGAGATGGGGAGATCAGCTGATAACTTGAGGGGAGTGGGAAGCCAGCAACTGGATAACTCAAAGTGGAAGCTCCATCCTCTGAGAATTTTAAAACTAGACTCGACTAAAGGCTGGAAAATGCACTATGGGCACTAATCCTGCATTGCCATCAAGAGGGACTGGATGATCTCATAGGTGTTCTTATATCTTATGAAGATCAGTTCCTCTGGAGCACAGAGTGCAAAGAACTAATCTTTGATGAAAGTGAGGTGCTCTTCGGGGCCTGGATAGCAGCAAGTCAAAGAAAACCTCTGCATTCTGGATAGCATTAGAAATCTGACAAAGCTGCTTTGTTTGCCCTCTGCTTCTTCCAGGGTCTAACACTGAATCTGCCTTTTCAGAAAGCATCAAGTTAACATCCTATGCCTTAGCTGAAGTGCATCTGAGACACTTTTGGGGATTTAGCAATGTCAGAGTTGCCTATCAGAATCATCATAATACTAATTTGTTGTTCAAGATTACGATGTAATTAGTAACTGCTTAATTAAATTCCCTCTTCCTCTGTAATGCAGGGCATACTGTAGCTGGTTCTTTTCAAGTTGGAAGTGATAATTACCTTCATGGACAAGAGACAACATAAGAACCAGCCCAAACCTTCACCCAAAGCTGATCCAAAGGTCCCCCTGTTCCAAAGCTATTTTTTGATGTTGGAAAATGCTTGGTAAAGTCTTTCTCCAAATACTTCTTCACGTACCTCTGCAGCTCCTGGCTTCAGCAGAGACAGGAAGGGCTGAAAAATCACAAGAAAAGGCTTCTCCTAACAGGTTTCCAACTTCAAAACCAGGAAATATCAGAAACCTCCATTCAAAAAGGGAGTCGCAAAACCCTGTTTGTATCTGATTCCCAACCTCACCCCAGAGCACAGAGCTTTGGGTTGAGGCTTGTCTGAGACTTCCACAGTTTGTCCATTGCTCATGTCTAGTGATTCTCTTTTTAATGCAGAAATGACATTGTCTCCTTTGTCTCCAGGGAGCTGGGCTTGTGAACATATTGGCTGTACTTTGTGTAAGGGGGCCCATCAAGTTTTACAGTGGTGCTGGGCATTCATCCCACCACAGAATCAAATGCCCGTAAGTTTTGAGATTTTGGAAATCATAGAATATCAGGGTTGGAAGGGACCTCAGAAGGTCATCTAGTCCAACCCCCTGCTCAAAGCAGGACCAATCCCCAATTTTTGTCCCAGATGGCCCCCTCAAGGATTGAACTCACAACCCTGGGTTTAGCAGGCCAATGCTCAAACCACTGAGCTATCTCTCCCCCGCACTGAGCTATCCCTCCCCCCAGATCTGTTTGTTGCAGATGGCCCTTGTCATTACAAAGGGACTGAGCCCCGAGGTGGTAGTGGAGATTGAAATCCAGATGGGAATTCTTATTGTACGTGCTACAATTAGACTCATAGACTTTAAGAACAGAAGGGACTGTTGTGATCATCTAGTCTGATCTGCACATCGCAGGCCACAGAACCTCATGTACCGACTCCTGTAATAGACCCACAACCTCTGGCTGAGTAACTGAAATCCTCAAATCCTGATTAAAAGACTTCCATTACAGAGAATCTGCTATTAAGTGGTTCATAACAACAAGTGTTCCATGCCCAATGCTGCTAGAACTTAGAGAAAATGCTCTGAATATTTCCATCTCCATTCCTGCCCTTCCTGACTGTGGAGAGAGAGAGGAACTTTAGGCCTAGGATAAAATTTTCAAAAGCATGTACGTCCCATTTCCAAACGTGATCTAGGATCTTCAGAGCCTAACTCCTCATTAATTTTAATGAAACTTACACTCCTCAGTGCCTGAGTCTCTTGTGGAAATAGGATTTAGGCCCATCGGTCACTTAGGCACTTGAAAAGGGTTACCTTGTCTACATTACAACTTTTAACCTAGTTTATGACCAGTTGCCTGGTCAACTCCAAACATGGTTTGTGTCCACCCAGTCACATTGTTAACAGGGTTAATAACTAGGGTAGCTAAGAGTGTTTCACCCTTGCTGGTAGCTTCGCTACATGGTTGTCTTCCTTAACCAGGTCATAGCATTGTTCTTTTGCATGTAGTTGGATCCCCATATTATATCTTTGTAACCAGGTTGACTGGTTCTCTCTGTGCATTGGACATCCCAGAAAGCATTGCCCCTTCCGCTGCTCTGCTTGCATATCTTTTGGCCACTCTCTCCCCGGCTGAGGCCAGGAGGAAGGGCTAGCTGCCCAGGTTTTCCCAGCACTCACTGGTATGAATACAGCCAGGTAGTGTAGTAGGTGTGAGTACAACAGCTGAAAAGCTGCTACGTGGATACAAACTGAATTGTGCTATTTGTAACCAATGAAGGTGACTGTAATGCTAATCAGTTACCAAACCACAGGAGTAGCTGTGGTACGGATGGGTGGTAGTCTGACCTCTCCTGTACCCATCCCTTCAGTAATGGCTTAGACATCACAATTGACACCATGGCAGCTGTTCTGACATTGCCTATCTTGGATTTGCCTTCAGGGATTGGGTAGGAGGAAAAGGGAAAGACTCCCGTTCACATGCAAGCCTCAGGCTGTTTCTGGTTAGTTTCACATCCTGCTTGTCATGTACATTGTGGGGCCTGGCTTGTGGCTAAGACACATGATTGGGTATCCAGGCTTCTTTCAGTTCTGTTCCCGGCTCTGCAATTGACTCACTGAGTGACACTGGCCAAGTCACTTCCCTGCTCTGTCCTTTGATTTTCCCCACTTGGACATTTTCCTGACCTATCTCCCAGGGGGGCGGGGATGTTTAATTCATTAATGCCTGGAAAGTGCTTTGATGGCCTGGAATAGAAGGTGCTCTAGAAGTACAGAGTATTACTTGTTTTTAATAGTTCCATGTTACTGAGTTTCCTGCCCTGCAGGGAATTTTTCCATAAGTGTAAACCACTGATTTTCATTGACATGAATGTTTTTATTTGTATTACTTTTTGTTCCTTGTGACCCTTTTATTTTAAACTAAACTTAAATTTAGGGCCTAAAGCTAAATAGAAAGAGTCCCTTTAATAAAAGTTTGTTGCTTGATCAGAGATTATTGCAGAGTCTTCATACTGTTTCTGGCTTGGTTTTCAGACAGCTGTTATCACCTATGACTACCTCACTTCTCTTCGGAGTGTCCCATATGAATCACAGGAGTATGCCTACCTCAAATCACAGGTAAGGTGACCACAGCACAGGGCTCTGTCCCCAGAGGCTTGGCAAGCAAAGAGAGTTCGACCAAAGGCAATGCAATCCACCAAGCTACTGGCTTAGTCAGTCAGCCACTGGGATGATTCCCACTTCAGGCTCCTTGCTGCTTAGACTGAAGTGCAGCGCTACTGATGTAGTGCACTGAGCTGCTGGGGGAGTGGGAAGACAGGTGGCCTTGTGTTGCTTAGCAACAGCAAGAGAGTCTTGTCTCTGTCCTGCTTGGCCAGTTAGTAGGTGCGGGCTGTAACACAAGGTTTGAGTGAATTAACATGGGGCAGATATGGTGGACGAGTGGTGAATCCTCTGGGATCAGTCAGGGCTGCAGAGCATCCCTGAAGAAACTGAGAAGTAATTGGGCAATTTAAGGGACTCTTCGTTGCCAGGCTTTCTGTCACTGTGTTCTGATGTAACTAATTAATATGAATAAAAATAGCATCTGTAGTGACAGGAATGAAGATATAAAGTACAACCTCTCCGCAAACTTGTCCAGCAGATCTCTTGTTTCTCAGTTCTGGGACCTCCCCACCTGCACTGCCAGTGCCCTTCAATCCTGACCCACAGATCCTTGTGTTTCAGTCCTGTCCCTGCCCTGCAGCCCCTCTGCCGAACTAGAGCTGGGGACTCTTCAGAGTAGAGAATATGGATTGTGCTGATCTATGCCAAATTAGGCAGTAATTTTGCAGTCGGACTACCAAGCCTATTTAATTTTTCACCTAACACATGTAGGAGTTAGACTCCTGTGTCCTGAGGTGAAGAGCTAGTGGATTGGGCCATCCATCCCCTTTCCAGCACCACCAGTGCCCCACACAACTCCTCTTAGTATTTAGTAACATATATTTTGGTTTAACTAATGCAAAGTGCTTAGGAGTGTCTTGCAGAGCAACCTGTGGTTGCTCTCACCTTCTCCTTCAACGAAAGAAATAATGTTTATTGTAGCTCTTCTGATCACAGATGAGTGTCACTGATGCACTTTAAGAAACTGGTAGTAGATGCCAGATTGACAAATTTGGGAGTCTGGAGCTTTCTCTCTCTGTTTGCCCATGTCTCTGCCATCTCCATAACTCTCCAGTAGCCCTGAGGACTATGGCTTGCACTCTTGGATGCTGGATCCAATCCAGCACTGGTTGGTAGTGAGTGAAAATCACGACTTTCTGGCAGCTGTCCATTAGTCTATGCAAATAGAGGTGGTGGGTTCTCAGTTCAGTTCCTAGTGGACAGGCGTGCACAGCACATGACCTGCCCTCATAATCAACTGACACCTGTGTTGGCAACTTTAGTGTAGTGGCCAAGGACTGAGTGGGAGACTGAACTCTCCTAGAGTTGATCAGGCCTGTGAGCAGTGTGATGGGAGGAAGCTTGCTCTGCCGCTGCCTAAGTTGTAGCTGTTGGCTCAGAAGCCTCCAGATCCCAGGCTTGTCAATCTGGCACCTTCCCCAGCACGAGAAGTGTTTTAAAAAGACTGTACCTTTGAAACCTGGGTCTGCAGAAGGGCTGCATTGTAGCTGCTCGGAGAGAAGCTGAGGTGGTGGAGTTGCCGGTGCTACAGACTGCTTGTAGTTTGACAGCTGTTCCCAGCAGCCCTTGCAAAACTCCGACCTTTTGCCATGTGTCTCCATGGCCTCATTAACCTCTGTCATGCTGCATCTGATGGTTTGCCGATATGTGCTCTGGGCAGCAGAAAAGGGTCCTGTTCATTGGAGCTGTGCTGTACTCTCCCCACTTGGCAGCCAAGACTCGCTGTGTCAGCACTTGTGCCTTGGCAGAATGAGTCAATGCGATGCAAGAGGGCTTAGTGCCATGGCCTGCATTTTCTTCAAGTCTTGGGCTGCTGAGAGGGGAAAGCCAGGGATATGGAGGCTGTGAAGCAAATTCAGGCATAGCATGAGCAGCTGAAACTCCTTCAGTGAGCGTAGTATCCTGGCTTGTCTTGCTGTTGGGGGAGTATAATGGAGAGGAGCATTTTAGCTGACAATAACTAGGAACGTGGTCTTCTAGCACCAGACTTGGGATGGCTGAGCTAGCAAAGTGTCAGATATGCAGAAGACAATGACCCTGCAGTGTGACTGGGGAACGGCATACAGAGTCCTTTGTTTATAGTGCACTGGTCCCAATCCAGCCCCAGATGAGTAGTAACTGAAAGCCTTTACTACCTGACAGCTATTCAGTGGTCTCTGTGGACTGTGTTTGTTGGGTCTCAGTCTGGTGCCTCATGGATGAGTCATCAGAAAATCCCCCATCAGACCTGGCACTAATTGGCCTCTTGTTGGCCATCAGTAGTGGCCAAGAGAGACTGCATTGCCTTCTCAGCCTGAGGGTGAGTCCCTCCAGGGGCATGGTGCACTGGCAGGTGGCAGTAAGTGTTGTGAGGGACACCAGCCCCGGGGATTGCCCATGCTGCATCTGTTCTGTAGATAAACAGAGGCCATCAGTCTTCAGGGCTCTCAATCTGGCACTGACATCTCCTATCTTGTCAGCCTCCCCACCCCCACCCTTTACTCCGGCAGTGATGCCAGCCTCAACCCCCTGTTTATGTGCTGCTCCCACGACTATTTTTTGTTTCATCGTCCAGGCCTGGACCGATCCAAATGGCCATTACCACCTTCTCTCTCACAGCCTCCATATCCCTCGTCAAGGCCCACATCAGTTAACAAAGCTACAAGAAACTAGCCGACTGACAATGGCCCAATAGAGAATGACTTGGGGATAGCTGGTATTTATTTTAAAATATTGTATATATATTCTGACTGGCTGTTTCCTCCCATGTCTTCTGCCCTTTGTATGCTGCTCACTCACTTAGCCTGCCAACTCCATGGGGCAGGGACTGTGTCTGCCTGTGAGCGTAGACAGTACGCAGAACATTGTGGGTGCTGCTGGAATATAAAGAACACGATGCTCGTTCTGTAATAATAATTTCTGTTCAGCAGCTAAACAGGAGACCCTGAATAACCCACTGTTTCAGTCGAGAGATAGGAAACCTCAGTGGCAGCACTAGTTCCTGAGCCTGTTGGGGCCAAACAGGGACATAGTAATTAGGAAACAATTAAATACAAAGCAGATTAAGAAAGAAACAGGTTCCCTGGGGACTCATAGCCAGGTTCCCACTTAGCTCCAAGGAAACCTCTTCAATCTCACTCTCTTTTTCTGTCCCTCATGGGCCACTTTTGATGCTAATGTTCTCAGCTAGGCAGTTCTCAGCACCTCTTGATGATCTGCAAATTGGGGGAGTATTTACTACTTTCTGTGAGACAACAGTGTGAACTGGGATGTAGCCATGTCTCTCTGAGATCTGTTAACCTCATCTTGATGCTCTCACTTCTGTTTGCCTCTCCCTTGCTCCAGCCAGGAGGTGTGGGGAGCTACTTCTCTGCTAGTACCCCATGCCCTTTCCCAGCAACCAAGTGAGATGAGAGCCCTGTCCTTGCCACTCCTTCTGCCAATACTTATAGCTGTCAGTATCAGGAGTGAAACTGGCATGAGCCATGTAAGTTTCACACCTGCCAGAGCAACCCTTCCAATCAACCTTGGTGGCTTGGCAAGCAGGGTAACCCTAATCTTCAGTCTGCAGGGAGGAATCTCATGGCACTCCTGGCACTTCCCTTCAGTTGCTGCTAATGCCAGTAAGTACTGATCCAGTGATGTTGCGGTCATCTGTGGCCATGTTTAGCTCTGGAGACACTGGGTGCTCAGTAAAATGTATATGTGTGTCTAGTGTCAGGAGCACCCCGGGAGATCAGTACTTTCACACGTTTATGATATGGTCCTGATCATTCCTGCTGGTTCGCTTAACTTGTTGTTGGTGGGACACATGCTAAAGTGGGCATTGTCTTCTGCTCATCCTCTCGTGTAATTCAGATCACAGGGGAGATGAGGGATGTTGGCTCAGCCACCTTTGTCAGGTTGGTCAATTCTTACCTGATGTCTTTCTTCCTTCTCTGGATTGTGATATTTCTTCACGTTCCCTCTCCTTCTGGGAAAACACAGCCTCTCCGTAATGTCGCTGTCTCTCTAATCTCTCTTTTACCTACCCTGGGGCATTTCGAACAAGCTCATCACAATAGTATCTGGGTGCCACTGTTGATACTTCATAAATGGATGTTGTTGTCTTTCTGCAGATCCCCCCCCTTCAGATCTGAAAGTGTCACAAAACACAAAGTTTGTTTCAGGGCTGGCATCAAAGCGTGGTGGTAGTAGCAATTAGATGTGTGCCATCTTGCCCATTGGTACAGAAATGCTGCATGGCCGATGTGACACCCTGGCACCTCCTTATTCACCACTGTCATGTAATGAGGATATGTTTTGTACAAAGTGTGCCTTGTGAGATATCATTCTAAAAGTCTTGAGCTGCTAGATATTAATATCTCATTGGCATGTATGTACTATTGTCGTATGTGAAGTTATGAAGTTTGGCTGTGTATGTGTTACTGAAACATATTGTGAGGTTGAAAACACCCACAAGCAGCCTTTCAGGTACAACAGTAAAAAGGCAAAACAATGTTAATGGCTTATTGAGGAAATGCACACAAGCACAAGGATTACCCCAGGAACTGTGTACAGTAGAAACCTCTCAGAGATAGCACTACACAATGGGAACTATTTGACCCAGGTCACAGCAAAAGAGCTTTCCAGCAAGTGGGAAGAAGATATAAAAGGGGGAAATGACATCATGATGGTACCTCACTCTCCCTACAACAACACACCTGGAAACACCTGAGGAACAAAGACTGAACAGGGGGAAGTAATGATCCCAGGCTAAAGGGATTTCTAGCCTATGTATGAAAACCTGGGAAACCCCAGCTGCAAAGCAAAGGCAGCTTGTGCCTTAAGAATCTGCCAGCCTGCTTATCACTCAGGGTGAGAATTTGCTAATTCATATCTTACCTATCTAGTATGTTAAGATCAGTTTGTGTTGTTAGTTTATTTTCTAGGTAATCTGCTTTGATCTGTTTGCTATCACCTATAATCACTTA